TAAAAAGGCATGAACATTTTTTTTGTATCGAAAAAATATCGAACCGTGACACCAAAGTATCGAACCGAACCGAACCGTGAATTTTGTTGTATCGTTGCACCCCTAATATATATATATATATACACATACACACAATCACAGCTGTGATAGCGATTAGGGCAGGACCCCCCAGAGTATAGATGCTGGTGGTGGAGATGAAGATGGAGGCTTGAATGGCGCCTGAGAGATGAGTGAAAGGTGGTGGTGGTAGGGAGGAGGTGGGTTGTACGAAGGCATCTGAAAAGAAGAATCACAGAAGCGCAGTGAGATTTTAAGTACATGGAGTGAAGGCTGATTGGCCTAAAGAAGGAGGGCTGAGTGCTGATTGGACTAGACCCGTGATGTCACAACCAGCTTGACAAGCATGGGAAAGGGGAAGTCATGTAAAACTTACATTAGCTGCCAAACACCTGGGAAGCAGACAGACGTGGAGTAAGTATTTGAAGTACACTTCGAATTGGGACAGCCGTCGTCGCGTGGCGGTGACGTAATAGCACTCAAAATGCATACTTCAAGCGTGCAGTCTCTTAATTGGGACACAGCCCCTGTGTCGTTATGTCAGACTTGTGTCCGCTGTTTCCCCATGTGTTTCCACATCCCCTAATCACCCTTGTGTGTATTTAGACTGTGTGTTCATTCTTTGTCAGGTCATCTATTGTTCAGTAGGTGGTGATTTAGTACCTGTTAGTCTCTAATCTAAAACTTGACCTGCTTTGGATGATACACAGCAAGTGAGCTGGGTCGCAGGGTTAACCCAGGGTTCATCCTGAAGAACCCAGGGTTCATCCTGAAGTCCTGGATAAGCTAAAATCCTGCTTCATACTACAGGCCACTGGTTATGTTGAACCCCTTATTTCAATACAAACATGATAGTTTCTCAGTGAACTTGGACTTATAATGTCTCATAATGACTCAAAACCCAATCAGGAAGGATTGTGTTATTAAATTAGTATTTCAAGGATGCATTTTTTCTGCAGCAGGTGCATGTTCAGATATGTCTGAAGAGAAGAAGAGGAAGCTTTCAACAACAGCTTCTGAACCTTGTGAGCCATCAGCCAGGTATTACTCAACTATTCATAAATCATCACATGTAGCCATGTTTCCAAAGCAGAGGGAAAGAGTGTAAAATGTAAATAAATGCAAAATCAAATGATTTGCAAGACATTCTTCAGAAGTGAAGTTGGGGTTCGGGACTTCAAAGATTGTGCCGGGGAATTTAAAGAATAATGTTTTCCAACACTTAGTGTCACCAGTCTCGTAGAGAAAGACGATGTATTACAGCAGTAAACACACCCCTGTTTCAGCTTCAATTCAATTTAAAAAGTAGCCTACTTTGTTTGATAAATAAATACATTTTCCTAGTTTCAGTGTTTGATGTGTCGTCTTTGTGCTATTTCCATTTATTCCAATGTATGTCACTGGATTCTGTTTATATTTACATTTTATATGTTGTGTTATCAATTTAGTAAACAGGGTTGTAAAATGTTTAAATACATTTAATGGAAATCCTGATGTTTTACTTGTTTAGGGTGTTGTTTACTATGTGTGATGTGTATCCTGTGTGTTTTGCTAACGGCATATTTGATTTGTGAAAAATGTTTTTTTTTTTAGTGCAGTTGAGTGGTCTCAGGATTTCCCCTGCAGTGTTTGCATTAAATGTTTACAGTTTTTGTGTAGGTGACTTCTCTCGACATTAATGAAGTGTTAAATAAACTTTCGTCTTAGTTCACAGAAAAGTGTTGCCGAGTCCACGGGTCCCAGATGTGTCTCCATTAAGAGTGATCGATCCAGGATTGAACCTCTCGTCTTTAAAGATGAGGAATCAAAATGGAAACAGTAAACATTGTTCTTACTAATATAAAATATCTTACTGATCTCTTTCTGTTACAATAAACAACAGTGTATAGATAAAAAAGTGCATTTCCACTAAAAGTTTCAATAGTTGAGCAATGCGTTGACTGCTCAGTGAATGCTTATAAAGTTTTTACACTAAATATATATATCTTTATAGTTTACAGAGTGCAACGGAGTTCACATCTGAAAGTTCAGTTTCTGTGCAGAGCGATGAATCCACTCACCAGCAGCTCAGGTAATTCTCATTTCTGCTAAATCTTCTCTCAGTTTCTTAAAAATACTGAAGGGTAGGATTAGAAGTGATTGAGTTGTTTTTTTGTAACACTAAGGAATATTGGAGTCTTTTTTCTTTCTTTTCTTTTTTTTTACCAGGATATCTCTTTCAGTGTTCATATTAATGCACCAATTTCTAGTTTCTTTGTGGCAAGTCAGTCAAAGATCCTTTTTTCAGACTGCATGTGTGCATCTCCCTCTTTGGCTGGGACCTGCTCCCACAGTACCGACGTCACTGACGGCATTTGTGGCCATTTTGCTGAATGTCTTGACATACTGATGTGAAAACTCACATGCTTTACTAATCTTTTCAATGCCATGTTGATTTCCCTAAGAAGCTTTTTTCTGAATTTTTGTCCCCAATGTCAATAGTGTAGAGTCACTTAGTGTAGCAAAGTTGTACACGAGGTTCAGGTTTATAAGAAAGGTTTCAAAAGACTCACATTGGTATTGAATTTGTAAGTGAAAATTTTATCTCTTAGGTGTTTTATTCTATTTAGGAGGACAATGGGCATTAAACTTCGAGATAACTTTATCAAACTTCCCTTCATCCTAATCTGGTTTGCCGCATATGAATGTGTTGAACACTTCAATAACTCGAGTCCCTGCTATTGTAAGCAATAACATTACCTTTCTTACATCCGGCTTGGCTTCAGATATACAGCTGGAAGGTGTGCCACTTACTGTTGACATTTTCCATCAGCTTCAAACATATTGTTTTCTACAATGCACTTGGAATTTTGCTCCTGGCACTGTGTTTTGTTTGTCTCTGTACTTCTGCAGAATGAGTCATTTAAGCCCCTGCAACATACCTTTATTAATTTTCCTTTACTTTAGGCAAGTAGAATGTACAGCACACCAGGCTATATCATTTTCACCTTCCTACCATAGAGATCATGCCTTCAGTCCGTACAAAATAGATACTGTTGCCTTGTGGTATGACATCAGAAATGACATCAGTTTTACCACACAAAATATCTGATCATTACTGCATTTCTTGATTTCATTGAGGTTTGTGAGCACTCATTTATCCACAGCTCTCTTTACGTTAGTACAGGATTTCAATCAGGTTTAGGTCTCGAGTTTGACAACTGACCATTGCAACACCTTAATTATTTCCTTTCAGCCTTTCTGTTGCAGATTTGCTTTTGTGTTTGAGATCATGGTTCTGTGGTGTAATTGCATTGCACAGTAGATGTTAATAGAGGCAGTCAGTGTAGTTAGGCCTGATGGCAGCTAGAGGGTGAGACCGGTGGGTTTGGACAAAAAGGGAATGTTATGTGGAACAGAGAAGAACGGAAAAATAAAGAGTTGGTTAGGAATCATACGGTGGACCTGCATATAATTAATAGCACGGCACGGTGTCAGAAGTCCTGTACTGATCCATGCAACCTCGACCGAATGAATCTGTATCTCGTGGAGCTTGTGGAAAACGAGAGGGAGAATATGGCGGATGAAAGTGCACAGAGAATGCTGGTGTCGTGCCAAAGTAGTTTGCAATTTGTTTCCCCTGCGTCGGGAGCAAACGCGGGGCTGTCCAAATCAAGGACAAACAGTATCCCAGAGTGTTGATTTTTACTTTACAAACACTTCTTATAATGACTAACTACTCCTGAAATTTTTGAGATGTTACCTCTTCATACAGGAAAGTTATAGTGGGATACAAATAATATCAGGATGATCCTGCCACAATTTGTCCCCCCTGTGTAAATCATGGACAAACAGCATCCCACATTCCTGATTTGTAGTACACAAACATTTCTTATTATGAAGTATTACTCCGGAAACTTTGGAGGATTTAGCTCTTTATACAGTAAAGTTACAGGAGGATAAAAACAATTATCAGGCAAAATGTTCTTGTGTTAAAATAATCCCGTCACCACAAGAGAACAATAAATATATACAATTCTCTATTGTAACCCTTTAACTGAATGTAATGATAGTAATTGTTAACTTTTTCACAAAAGTAAAGCATCAGTATTTCCTGTGTGCTCCCGACGCAGGGGAAACAAATTCTGTCGGGGATACCTACTTTGGCACAACAGCAGTCTGAGTTTAACAGCTGAGCAAAGGACAACGTACGTGGGGGTACGTGATGAATTCCAGGCTTTTTTCATTGTGAAGAAAAATGTGATCTATGAATTTTCCAAATTCAACATGCGCCGACAGGGAGAAAATGAGATGATGGATGCTTTTGTGACTGCACGGTATGCACTAGCAGAACACTGCAACTGTGGAGGGCTACATGATGAACTGATACGCGACAGGCTCGTTGTCGGTCTCACGGACAAACGGCTGTCAGAACGCATGCAGCTTGACCCAGATTTGACCCTGCAGAAAGCTATCAAGATGGCGAGGCAAAGTGAAGAGGTAAAGCAACAACAATGCTCCTTACGAGGTGACTCTAGAGCTGAGGCTATCGATGCTAAGTCCATAGATAGAGTGCACAAAATTAGTCGTAAGCCTGCTAGAATCAAACCTCTCCAGACTGATAGTCGTCAAGCTAAAACACGTGGGTTCTGAGAAGACGGCAAGAAAGGGGCAACGTGTCAAAAATGTGGCAGCGCTCCATCACATTGAAAGCAAGATTGTCCTGCACATGAAGTAAAATGCCATGCATGTGGGAAAAAAAGGACATTACAGGCGCTTATGCAGGTCACCCAATGGAAATGGTTAACCAGCATGGAAAGGTTATTCTACAGTTTACAGAAAGAGACAAACCTTTAAGAGACTCACTATCTAAGAAAAACAGCTGGAGGTGGGACATTGACACATAGAGTGTTTTGAGACCTGAAACATACATTTACATCACCGCCAGTGTTAGCCACGTATGACCAAACCGTGACTGCAATGTGTCAGCGGATGCATCATCGTACGGCTTAGGGGGTGTGCAGCTTCAAAGATGGGATGAGGAGTGGAGACCTGTTGCCTATGCATCACGTTCCCTCACTGCAACAGAACAGAGATACGCTCAGGTTAAAAAGGAGGCTTTAGGTCTGACCTGGGCTTGTGGGAGGTTCCGCAGCTTTCTTATTGGCAAACACTTTCAAATGGAAACAAACCATAAGCTGCTGCTGAGTCTGCTGTGGACATTTTGCAAGTGTTTGGCTTTCGTCACATCACAAGCAGCCTGAAATATCCCCAAAGCATTGGCGAAGCCGAACGGGCAGTTAAGACTGTCAAGAACCTATTACAGAAAGCTGCTGATCCACAATTGACTCTACTCGCCTACAGAGCCATCCCACTACAGAATGGCTATAGTCCAGCCCAACTCCTAATGGGGAGACAGCTTTGCACCACAGTGCCAATACTGCTATCTCTAATTGACCCTGCACATCCTGATAGTGTGGTTGTAGCCCGGAGGGAGAAGGAGAGTAGGACAGTCATAAAACCTTCGTCATCGCGCACATAGCCTCAACAGGCTCACTCCATGGCAAGAAGTGTGGATCACAGACCAGAGAGCCAGTGGCGCCGTTATTGACAGCCACACCACCATCATATCTCGTGGAGGGACCTCGTGGGACAATTAGGCGGAACCCTCGGCATCTTGTTCCCATGAAACGCCCTCCAGACCAAACAGAGTGATAGTGGGGAGCCAGAATTGGCAGGATCCGGGGAGCAGTGCTCCACAGACATTCCAGTGACAGTTTCTTCAGAACTTCCATCTACACCCAGAACCAGATCTGGGAGAGTAGTTGTGAGACCAACCAGACTGGACTTGTGACGGATCACATTAAAAGGACATGTTTACACAAGCATACCCCTCTGTCGCAGTATTCTTTGCACAGTAAGGGGAAAAGCTAAAGTTTGTCATTTTCAAATATGTATGTCCAGAAGTTGGGAAGCACCAGAGATGGGAATCATACAGTGGACACGTGTATAATTAATAATATGACAGGTTCTGTTTCATTAAACAATTTCTGCCAATATTTAACTGTCCGACAAATGGCCTCACATTTGTTTCTAGAATACTTTGGTGAACAGAGTTTTCATCAAACGTGTCATCATGGACAAATGTCTTTACTTTGGTCTCATTTGTTCAAAGGACATTTTTCCAGAACTCTTGTGGTTTATTCAGATGCAACTTTACAAACCTAACCTGTGCTGCATCGTCCTTGAATTTTACCTGACCTAAAGTTTTTGTTCATGATTATATTTAGCAGTGATATTTGGCAAAACATCAGCACAGGTGAGGACAAGATGTCAACAGGGCATAACCTCGCCCTAACAGAGTGAAGAAGCTTTTTAAAAATGTTATTTAAGAATTTGGCCTCTGAGAAAATTGTTTTGCTTATGTTATCATATAAACTGCTCATGCATACATACAAATGTATGCATGAGCATACAAATGAAGGCTTTGTATTGTTTTTCCTACAGTTATCCCAGTGTGGATCCAAACAGCTGTCTAATGTGTAAGAAGGTTTTGAGGGATCCAGTCCACTTCAAGTGTGGACACTGGTTATGCAAACAGTGTGTGAGCTCAAACTGGGATCAATCTGGCTCACATGCAGAAAATCTCTGCCTGGATTGTGTTGAGAAATGCCGACTTAAGAATGTTGAAAGCACAGGTAAGCTTCCACAGGTAAATGCTACTGTCACTGGGATCTTTGATATGTGTCCACCATTTATCCTTGGAAATAAAAGTGATTGCAGCGATCTTACACCAGCTAAACTGCATTTATACTGATAACCTTTTCTTCTTGTGTGACATGTTCTTTTGACATAGAGAGAAGTAGCTTGCCATCACCAGTGTGTGAATGTGTGTGTGAATGGGTGGATGACTGGATGTGTAAAGCGCTTTGGGGTCCTTAGGGACTAGTAAAGCGCTATATAAATACAGGCCATTTACCATTTTACTATGTGTATAGCTTCTGACCTAAGGTTGTTTTCACATCTATAGTTCTTTTACTCTGGTCTGACTTAGTTAACAAGTTATAAAACTTCACATTTCAATCAAATCAAATGCATTTATAAGCACATTTAAAAACAACACGGGTTGAACCAAAGTGCTGTACATAATGAAAATGGTGAACATTCATAGAAAATACAATGGAAGACTAGTCACAATTGAAGGCTAGAGAATACAAGTGCGTTTTCAAGCAGGTTTTAAAGATATCAAGCGTTGGTGAAGACCTAATGTTAAGGGGCAGACTCTTCCGTTTGGGGGCAGCAACCGCAAAAGCTCAGTCACATCTGATTTTCTGTCTGGTTCTGGGGATATCCAGAAGCAGCTTATCTGCCGACTTAAGAACTCTGCTTGGAGTATTATTTAAAGTTAAAAAGTTAAAAGTATTAGTTAAAAGGTCCAAGAGATAAGATGGAGCTAATCCATTCAGAGATTTAAAAACAAACAACAAAATCGTGATTTCGATTCTACGACGTACTGGTAACCAGTTTAAACGTGCCAGGATTAGAGTGATATGTTCAAAATGGCGAGTGACTGTTAGGAGTAGGGCTGCCGCATTCTGAACTAGCTGCAAACGAGAGAGTAGGGCCTGGTTAATACCAAAATAGAGACTATTGCAATAGTCAAGCCTAGATGAAATAATTGCATGAATCACTCTCTCGAAATTGGCAGATGACAACTTGGTCTTGTTTTTTGCAATGGCTCTCAACTGGAAAAAGCTGGTTTTAATAACAGAATTTATTTGTTTCTCAAATGAGAAAGAGCTATTGAGAAACACTCCTAAATTTTTAGCAAACGGCGTTGTGAACTTATGCAGTGGACCAAGATCAACATCAAGGAAAAAACGGAGGTCAGAGGGTCCAAATAGTATAATCTCAGTTTTTTAATCATTTATATGCAAAATATTCAAAGAGAACCATGATTTAATGTCATCAAGTCAGTCAAGTAAAACTTTAAAACTCCTATCAGTTAGGTAGGATCTGAACCATTTAAGTGCAGTACCCTTAATGCCCACACAATTTTCCAATCTTGATAGCAGAATCCCATGATCCACTGTATCAAATGCCGCACTCTGAAATCTAAAACCACTAAAATGATGCGATTACCAGAATCTGTAGTCATAAAAGACCATTAAGAACTTTTAAAAGCACAATTTCAGTGGTATGTGGTGCTTTAAAACCAGACTGAAACAATTCTAAATTCTAAGCTGAATAAAAGCAAATTATTCTAAAATTTTAGACAGAAAAGAAAGTTTAGAGATTGGTCTAAAATTTGAAATAACAGTTGCGTCAAGGTTAGTTTTTTTTAAGAAGTGGGTGGAAAATAGCATGTTTAAGATCAAGTGGAACTGTTCCCGTAAAAAGAGAGGTGTTGATAACAGTTAAAACATGAGGGCCAATAGTGTCAAAGACTTTAAAAAGACTAGAGGAGATAGTGTCAAGGTGACACATAGAGTTCTTAAGACGGGAGACTAGTTCAGCCAGAGAGTTCTGAGAAATCGGCTCGAAGTGATTTAACACAACTGAGGAAAACAAGGGAACAGAGGGATCATAGGGCGGAGGAATGAAATAAGACCTAATAGTATCCACCTTATCAACAAAAAAACGTAAAAAGTTTTCACAGGTACCAAGGGACCCTAGTAATAGAGAGGTGGATGGAGGGTTGATAACAGAGTGAATAGTATTGAATAAGATACAAGGGCTGTAGCTGTGTTTGCTGATAATATCCGATAGGTACTATTGGATAGGTAGTTTTTGCTTTACGCACAGCATCTTGATAAAGAGACAGAGCATCTCTTAACATAGCGAAGGAAATCTGAAGTTTGTCTTTTTCCATTTTCTTTTGGCCTTTCTACAGGTCCTTCTAATGGCCCGGGTGTCCTTGTTTAGCCAGGGATCAGTTTTAGGTCTAGAGCGTTTAGTTTTTCTAAAAGGAGCAGCCATATCTAGGACGTTTGTGCAAGTGACATTAAACATGGTAAGCAAATGATCAACATTTTGCTTAAAGGAGCAATTGTCCATGATAGGGAGACCAGAATTCTGATAACCAGCAGAGAATTGCTCCGCAGTAACTGGTGTAATGATGCGGTATTGGTGGACAGGAAGAGGAGGCTTAACGAAGGAGTATGGGACAGAAATTTTGAATAAGACAGGCATATGACCCGAAAGGTTAAGGTTACAAATTTGAATATCCTATAGCTGCAGACCGCAGGATAAAACTAGGTCCAAGGTTTGTCCACGCTCATGGGTGAGAGTCTTAACTGATTGGAATAAGATTAAAGGAATTAATAAGATCCAAAACGTCTTTCACAAGTTGTTTTTGGTGACAAAAAAAATGAATATTAAAATCACCAAGGATTAAAACGCTGTCAATGTCCAGAATGCAAAGCATAAGTAGTTACAGGAAGGTGTTTAGCTCAAACTTGGAAAATACACCTGGTAGTTAGGTTGAATCGAAGCTGGATCACTTTTCACACTTTAAACAAACTGCACCAATCTGGACTTTGGAACCGAACCAAGACCTTCTCCTCAAGTATGATTACCATACTTGTTGTTCACACCCGCACAAACAAACTTTACCAAAGGGGAAAATGACCAGAGTTTTACTTATATGAACTAAACAACATAGGTGTGAAAACACCTTAAGACTACAGTTTTCATCTAAATTTAGGATGCCAAAGGTAGATGCCAAATTTTAACAATTTTGCCCAACACAGCTTTTATTTATTAAACAAAATGTAATAAATTCCTGTTTACAAATCTGAAAACATTGCTCTGTTTGATTCCAGGGAACATCCTCCTTGTCAAAGTAAAGGAAAATTTGAAAAAAGCAGTGAAAAAGAAATTTGCTCTGACATTTGAAGGTAATGGTGACCAAGAAAATCTACTCCAGAACATCTACACAATGTTGTTCATCACCACCGGAGAGAGTGAAAGACTAAATGAAGAGCATCAATTCAAAAGTAAATGGAAAACGCAATCATCCAATGACTGTTCAGTCAACCTCAGTCACATATTCAAATCGTTTTCTGTCCAAACCAAACCCCACAGAACAGTTGTGACGAAGGGCGTTGCAGGCATTGGGAAGTCTCTGGCTGTGCAGAAATTCATTCTTGACTGGGCCGAAGAGAAGGAAAACCAAGATCTTGACTTTGTTTTCAGTCTTGCTTTCAGAGAGTTGAATTTGATTTCAGGTGAAAAAAGCCTACATGAGCTCCTGACTTTATTTCACCCCACACTGTCAGAACTCAAAGATTCAGTGGATTATACCAAAACCAAGATTGTTCTGATCCTGGACGGTCTGGATGAAAGCAGGTTTCAGCTGGACTTTGAAGGCACTGAGAGAGTATCATCTTTCATGGAAGCAGCACCTGTGAGTAATCTCCTAGCAAACCTCATCCAGGGTAAGCTTCTTCCTGATGCAAACCTCTGGATTACTTCCCGGCCAGCAGCAGCCAATCAGATCCCTGCAGAACATGTTGACATGGTGACAGAGATAAGAGGTTTCAATGATCCTCAAAAAGCTGAATACTTCAGGAGGAGATTTAGTCATGATCCTGGTCTTGCTGAAAGGATCATTAAACATATTCAGTCTTCACAGAGTCTCGACATCATGTGTCAGATCCCGATCTTCTGCTGGATTTCTGCAGTGTTATTTCAGGAAATCTTTGGAGGAGATGTTGAAACTGCAATTCCTCAAACTCTTACAGAGATGATGTCACACTTCCTGTTTGCACAAACAAAGCGTAGAAGTAGAAAATATGACAAGAAGGTTGAGACAAACAAAGAAAAGCTTCTGAAGACACACAAAGAATTTCTTCTGAAACTCGGCAAGCTTGCATTTGAGCAGCTGCTGAAGAACAACCTCATCTTCTATGAGGAAGACCTGGAAGGCTTTGGCATTGACATTAAAGAAGCATCCATCTACTCTGGATTTTGCACCACAGTCCATTTGGAAGAACAACTCTTTTCCAACAAAAGGGTCTTTTGCTTTGTGCATCTGACCGTACAGGAGTTCTTTGCTGCTCTCTTTGTCTATGACTGTTTTATTAACAATAATACTACAGAACTTAAAAACTTCCTCATTTTGGAGGACAAAGACCATACGTTACTTGATCTTGTAAAGGTGACAGTTGACAAAGTGCTGGAGAAGAAGAAAAATGGCCACCTGGACTTCTTCTTGAGATTCCTTCTTGGCCTCCTAGTTGAACCCAACCGGAGAGTCCTTCATGGTCTGCTGGCTCTACCAGACCAAAGCCAAGATACTGACAAGAAAATCTTGACTTACCTCAAGTCTATCAGAAGGAAGAACCTCTCACCAGACAGCTGCATCAACCTTTTCCAGACTATGGTCGAGATGAGAGATCACAAAGTCAAAGATGAGATTCAGGAATATCTCGCACTGTCAGATCGTTCAAAAACAGAGTTGACTCCCCTGCACTGCTCTGCGCTGGCCTACATGCTGCAGGTATCGAAGAATGATTTGGAAGTCTTGGATTTAAAGAGTTACAACACATCAGATGAGGGCAGACGGAGGCTGATACCGGCTGTGAGGAAGAGTAGAAAAGCTATGTAAGTTTGCAGCAATAATTTACTTTGATGTTGAATAACAACATGTTAAATATACTTTTCTGTCAATCAGATTGTGTAAGGTCAGGGTTTGCTGGAAAGAAACTGTTCTTGATCAAGCTGATCAAGTGTCATCCTTAAACCTTTGTCATGGCGTGGATTTAATTTATGACCACAGCAAGCACTTCCCTGATGACTTTATGGTCTTAATTGTTACTTTTAAGTTGCATAAAAACAAGGTTTTAATTTTAAATTTTATCCCAAGTTGAATAAAACAAGATAAGATTATTTGATAAAATAATAAAACATTCTGCTCAAAGAAGGCCAAGATCATCTAGCTAAATCAACTGACATTATCTACTCAATACTTTACAACAAAAAGATGAGAATGGCCAAAATGTAAAAATAAAGGTTTCAAAACTTCTGTCTCATAACACTTTTTAAAACCTTTAATTTTTTTCTTTATTTGTCTACAGAATGAAACAGCTTTGTTCTCTTTATACTAACACTTAAACACCCACCCACAGGTTAGCAGATTGCAAAGTGACCTCGGTGTCAGCTGAGCATTTGGCTTTTGCTCTCAAGTTCTACTGCTCATCCCTCAGAGATCTAGACCTCAGTGACAATGACCTGAAAGATTCAGGGTTGAAGTTACTCTGTGATGGACTATCAAGTCAGTGCTGCAGGCTGGAGATACTCAGGTAGTAACACATAAAGTACACCAAAAGACACTAGTAATGGATCTCCTTTAGCCAGATTTAAGCTGAAAAGAAAACTGCTAGAAAACTGACTCTGTATAATAAAAATGATAGTTCTTGCTCTGATTTCAGTGAGGTCTTTATCAATAATAAGATAGTATACTTAGATTGACAAAGAATTGTCTTTAACACTGTACACTTCTGACACTCAGGAGTCACCATCTTGGTTTGATACCAGAGTGGCGACCAACCAGTGGAAAAAGATAGGAACATCTGAACTAGCCCATTAACATTGGCATATTACTTTTTCACACAGTGATGTTACATGGGTTGGTTGACAGGGGTTGTTTGGTATTATTATGTGTGGTCAGAAGGTCAATAATAAGTTAACAATCATAGTCAGTTGTTACAATCATCAGTTTAGGCACATAACTTGCTTTGTTTGGTAAGCAAGAACAAAATGTACTACTGGAATTATTTCAATTGAAAAAGTGTCTGTTTTATCAGGTTATCCGGTTGTCTGGTCACAGCGACAGGCTGTGCATATCTGGCTTCAGCTCTACAGCTCAACCCGTTTCATCTGATAGAGTTGGATCTGAGCTACAACCACCCAGGAGACTCTGGAGAGAAGCAGCTGTCTAAGCTGAAGAATGATCCCCGATACAAGCTGAGCAAACTCAGGTAATGGAATTTTTTAAAGTAATTTTTTAAAACTTCATTAAGAAACATAATTAAATCTGAGATACTTTTCTCCACAGTGTTGAACATGGTGGAAGTCACAGAATGAAACCAAGCTTCAAGAAATGTAAGCACTTCAGTTATTTTTGGTGGCAATAAGTAACAAATCAAGGAAATTATGATCTAGTAACAGATCATTGTTCAAAGTGGCATGGCTTCTTTTTGTTGTTGCAATGAAGTGTTTTCTTATTTCCAGATGCCTGTGAACTCACTCTGGACTCCAACACAGCACACACAAACCTGCTTTTCTCTAATGGGAATAGAAAGGTGACCTGGATGGAAGTTGACCATCCACATCCTGATCCCAAAAAACAGCAGGTGCTGTGTGAGCAGAGCCTCAATGGGCGCTGCTACTGGGAGGTGGAAGTGTTTGGCTTTCTATGCGTTGGGATTACAATCAGAAGAAGAGGCACAGAAGGAAAGAAAAATGAGTTTAAGATGGGATACGATGACAAATCCTGGTGTCTGGTTTTCTCTGATGATGGTTTTTACATTCTGCACCGTAACAAGAAAGTAGACGTGCCTTCAGCTGGATGGCGCTCCAGTCGGGTGGGTGTGTATGTGGATTGTTCAGCTGGCACGCTGTCCTTCTACAGGGTTTCTAATGACAGCTGCATCCTCCTTCATAGCTACAAAACAGCCTTTAACAAACCCCTTTATCCTGCTTTTGAGCTTCACTCTCAGTCGTCTGCTTCATTTTGTCAGCTAACCTAAGTTTCACCTGCACCTGCAAGTTCTGTCCATCAATTCCACACATTAAACTGCTTTATGAGTATCCTATTGTTTTTCCAATGAAGTTCTAGGTCATGTTTCACCTACTGTAGCTACATGGTATTCTTTATTTACTCTATCTTTTTCTAATATTTTTTTTAATGATCTGAAACAGTTAAGTGTGACAAATATCCCCCACAAAAAAACAAAAACCCAAAAGCTAAGAAATCAGAAAGGGGGAAATATGTTTTTCTGTGCATTGTAACTACAATTTGCACTCTTGCTGATGAATCTGTTTGGTAGATTTACATAATATTTTCAACTACTAAGTCATTCTTCAAAATGACAAAAAACTGTTCCAACGTCTCCAATGTGTCAATTGGTTACACTTTCCCTGTTTTGTATTTCTCTAAATTTAAAAATTAATATTTTATGTTTATGTTACTTGTCAGAAACAATGTCAGCATTTTAAGTTATGGGCAGTTCTGTTTCATGTATTTTTTGTAGAACTTATTTGTATTTACTACAAACTCAAAATCAGGTCTAAACCTCTGAACTCCTAATCTGTAACTTTGAATTAGCAATTTACTCACTTTGATAATTGAACATAGTGCTAAGAAAAATACATTCAATGTAAATGAGCATGATTTCACAATTACAAAGTTGGAGATTACATTTTAAAAAACTGACTAACAGTGCACAAAGATCTACAGCTGATTTACGTAAAGAGCAACAAGATCTACAGAGGAGAACACAACCAGTAGACCCAGAACATGCACACTTTAAACAGAATGTTTCTAACCAGATGGTGGAGCCAAACTCAGGACTGCTGTGAGGCTTGCTACTACACCACCATGCTGCCCACATTTGACATGCAGAATGTAGAAGTTGCTGTCTGTATTAATGTTCTTTTGTCTTCTTTTATTTAGAATTTACCTTTCTCTGTTTTAAATCAAAATGTGTGTGGCAACTCTGAGCATCTTTTACAGCATTTTCACTACAAATCAGATGTGTGTGTGAGAGAGAGGCTGTTTCAAAGGCGTTTAGTTTCTGTCCTTTATTTTTACTTAGGTTGAAGTTTGTGTGGAACAAATACTGTGTAAGTTAACAGAAGTCTTAGTATCACAGGTCTGCAATTAACACAAATGAGGAATTTAGTATTTTAGTAAATGAATGTTAGATACTGGTTGGCATGTTATGGTCTGACAGTGAAAAATAACCAGAATTCAAATGTGAGGTGAGACTATTAGATGTGATTCAACATGTACAAACTGGTGTCCTGTTTTCGATCACAAATGGCTGCTTATTGAAAAATAAAATGTTTTTTTTTAAATTTGCAGTGAAAAGCAGAAGTTTCTAATAGTTTTGTCTTACTGATGCTCATTAAGGAATAACTTCAGACGCTGTTAAAAAAAACTAGTTTCTCCTATTACAGACACACAGAGGTCTGAGGGATCTTCCAGGAATTATGCCGCTAATTTCCAGAGAACTGATTGGGCGTTATCTCTTATGTTGAACGTAACCTGGTCCACGGCTGGGCTGTTGTGGCGCACAGAACAGGTGCTACAAAGCACACCTGTCACAACAAAGCCCAAGTCACTTCATCAAACAAGCTTTTTCTTTTCACAGTTCTGCATGCATGCAGTCTACTTGCTTATACATGCCATCTATACAGGAAATGCATCATTTGAAAGAAACACAAACACCACCTGTCATATAATCTGAGAACATAAAAAACCTCCTTCATTAATCCAACCCTATTATTATTGGCTCATGTTTCCCATAGGTCACTAACCGTGTTAATGAGGGAGTGACTTGGCCTGAGAGTAAAGGGTGGGGCAGTCTGCCTCACAGCTGCTCTCAGCAACACCAACCCACCCAGAGAAAGGGGGGGCTCTTTATCTGTTCAGCACAATAAAAGCCTTTTACATCAAAGGAAACAGAACAGAAGTTAGAGGTCAGATCCCACAATATCATTCACCAAACTCCAACCAAACCTCCAGAGAAAAAACAAACAAAAACAATTTAGTCCTACATAAAGGCTAATGTGTGATCTACCTGACACTGGGACACTTCAATACAAGACAGGTAAACTGAGATCAAAGTAATGAGTCACATTGCAAACTAATCAGCTGCTTTTACCATTTTTAATTCAGTTTTTATACAAATACGCAAAACTGCAGTAGCTTCACAGCACAACAGGGGGCCAGCCCACTGTATGAATCACTGTCAGGTATATTTACTAGTTTGGGATTCAGTTGTTATTTAAAAGTTTTATTTAATGTTGTTTTTAACTCCCCTGTCATTGTGACAGTGCACATTGTCTCCACACCTCTCCTAATAAACTTAGCATTATAAATACATATGTCCTCAATACATTTGTGGGTTGAGCAGCAGAGTATATGTTAGAGCCATGGAAAACTTGCCACATGTTCTCTGCCAGTACTAACTGTATTTAGGAACACGTTAAATTCTGAGTTTCCCTCATATCTTCAAACTTATAGTTTGCCTAAAGTGGACATTAGATTGGAAATTCATGTCATATAAACACAACAGAAAACTACAGTTAAACTGAACTTTTCAGACCAAAACAGAAAATGAAGTTGGGCAATTTAAAAATATTACATCTACACATATCTTTAAGTAATCATTTAAAAAAAAACTGACATAGTTTTACGGTCATCCAAAAATCTTTGTTTCTTATTGGTCCACATAAACAAAGTACAAATAACTTAACATGGGGCAGTACTGTATGATGTCTTGGCTAATTTATGAATCTAGCTGATGTTCTCTGCTTGAAGTAAAAAGGACATTGTCAGGAGCGTGTTTTAGTTTAAAACAATTAAACGGGACCCTATAACACCTGAGCCAAAGGCAACACAGGTACTTTTAGGGCTCGTTTATAAGTTTTAATTTTTGTTAAGGTCCTGCAAAGTACTGGATTTAGATATCTCTCAGAACTATGAAACCAGCTCAACCTTTCAGGAACAGGTCTTCTGATCCCTCCCCACACTGATCAACATGTTTTTGCCTTTTTATGCTACAAGTTGCTGGAATAACCTACTCACTCGTGTTTGGCGTTTTCCAATATTAGCAGCATTTCAAACAAAAGTTAAAAGCACAGTTTAACCTTTTCAGTTGTTGTTCCTGGTCTTAATTTGCATTTCATGTCATTTCTATTTATTTCATTTATTGTTGTTGGAGAGTTTTATTAATTTTACTGGTGTTAACTAATGTTGATCCTTAGTTAATATTTCATTTTATTTCTACTTCTTTGACTGGATTAAATTTTGCGGGTCTGTTGTTTACTCAAAATCTCAGTTTGCTAAATTTCAGTTTTTGGGTTCATGTGTGGGTCTTTATTCTTATTTAATGCTGCCTTCATGTTTTTGTTGATGCCATCTGTTCTTAATTATTCCTCCTAATGTGTGCCTGGTGACTTAGTTTCAGGCTTTCTTAATGGTTTTATAGCTCCAGCCTGCTTCACTGACTCCCACAGCTGTGTCCACCACAGCTTCATCAAATATTAAGATTGAGCAGAATTATTTATTACTTCTACCATTATAATCATTCACTATTACTTATTTATAAGCCGTGGTTCTTACAATAATCACTTTGCAATTAAGTGTTGCAGACCTTTTTGTGAGTTATATATGTAGTTATTATTGAGACTCATGTTGCAAACATGAGTCTCAATAAGCTGTAATAAGCAGGACAGTAAGCTGTACTGTGTATGGAGTAGTACAGGAAGTGAAAGAAAAACACAAATACAGAAAGAAGTACATCTATAGTTTTCCTCTTGGTCTACATTATCATCTACATCTGTGTATTTAAACGTAACTAAATCTGTTTAAATGAAAAACATAAGTTCCCTCTGCTATTAAAAAATCTGATCTCTATGTAACTAACTATGGAACATCATTAATTTTGTCTTCAGTAAAGTTTGTTACTTCAGATCATCAGAGCACATCAGATGTTTCAGGAAATTAAGGCAAAGTAGTAAGTAGAAATGGTTGTGTATGTTTTTATGAGCAAGCTAGACAGATAATGTTTCTATTGTCTGCATGCTATCAAATATATTAGCATTGATTTGTAGCTGTGAGCCTGTTATGCCGCAAGGATCTGTGGCTGAAGTGACACAATGTCCAGTGATGCCCTGCACATGCAATATAGTCACATTTTTTTGTTTGCTCGGTGCAGCACTGTGCACACTTTAAAGTAAATATTGTTTTCCCTCACAATATATGCAAATGTAAGAAGTCTTTGTCTTTACAAATGGGAAACATGTGCTTTAATCAGTGTCTTGAGATTATTCTGTTACATAATCCAGTAGAGCAGGTTTCAGCCTCAGGGAAAAGTCGGACTTTAATACACGTCATATGGGTCTCACAGCCTTTTGTAAGTAATCCTTTGCTAAGTGGCTGGTACTTTCTGTTAAAATGCTACCACCTTGTGGTGAAAGTTTTCGTTCACTTTTACAGACGTTTTTCAGAAAAAAAAATATCTTAGATTTGTCTAAGAATAGTAACGTTTTTCATATTTACTACATTTCGAAATAAATAAAGAAATCATGCTTCTTTGCCAACACTGCTTTTTGCCAGTACCCTCGATCTTTAGATTGACTTCAGTGAAATTTAAATTGGGATTTTTAGTGGCTATTTTTAAGCTTTTAACCTGCTACATGTTTTATTCACTATGAAAATAAAGAACTTTCGAGTCATTTGCACAGACATGTACTCGTGGTGCCCTTTGTAGTTTGCAGCTATTCTGTGTTAAACATGTAAAATATAATTTAAAAAATGTGTAAAATTAGAAACAATTTACATCATTTTAGAATTTCCTAAAGGCTGAATTAAATGGATGGTTTTGTAAGTTCATGCACCAAATAATTATAAATCGTACACTAAATGATCCAGTATCCATGTAACATTTTGTAAAAAAATTTTTTTTTAAAAATGTAATCCTTGAATCTTGTATATAAAGAGCAATATTTTTTAATGACAACTCGCGCAATTTCCAGTGCCATGCGGTGGGCCGAACTGGACCCTATGGGAGCCCACCGAATGGCATGTTTGACACCCCTTGTCATAAAACAATAACGACAGAAAAGTAAGTTTAATTTGAGGGAGAGTCAGACAAAAGGCAGGGAGGAGAGACACGGTAGAGCGAGATGGACAAAGACAGACAGCGAGAGGAGGAGGAGGAGGAGGAGGAGGGACGCTGTCATCACGTACAGCCGCGGAAAGAAGGGAAGGGCGGGGGTGAGCCTCAGCCGGTGTCTGTCTGCAGCAGCGGCCATGCTGCCTGACTCGGTGCATCCCGGTCCACCGGTGTAGCCTCCCTCCTACATCCCTGTATCCCAGGTCAGCGGACGGACCCGGAACGGCTCGGTTAGAGCGGTTCAGCCCGCCGGGAGGGGAAAGAGGAGAAACACTCCATAGCAACAAACCGGTTCCACGGCATTATTGGTAGGTGCCTCCCTTTCAATGTACGTGTGTGTTTGAATGACGCTGTCAGCCAGCTTAGCAGTGTTAGGGCGGATAGATGGATAAAGTCAATTCTGTTATCAGAGAGAGAGAGAGAGAGAGAGAGAGAGAGCACGGGAGTTATAAGCATTTCATCTGCAGGGTTTTATTTCTCATTGGGCTTAAGCGAAATCTAATAACACTGGAAATCGATGCAATTCTCCCACAGTGGCTGTGCAGCCAAATTTATGTCACACATTTGAACACATTGGCTGTATGATGCCTATAAGTCCTGATGTGCATGTGCAATTTATCATGGGGGGCGGGGTCTTAATGATCTTCAATAGAAGCCCATTCTGCTCAGACCAGCTCCTTAAAGGTACTTTTTGCAAACGCACTGCAAAATGCAATAAAGACCATCACCACAAGGTGGCAGCATTTTTGCCAGAAAGTTTATGGGCAGTTGGAAATTCCACGGGTGCGTGCCTCTGACAGACCCTGCAAGCATAGTGGAAACAGTGCTAGAATTACCCCAGTCAACAGTGTTTGTGGCACAATGGCAAAAACTGCACTGTAGACAGACAGATGCTGACACTTTCAGGTACTGTTGTGGACCAGTGACTCTTTCAGGACAAGGAATATTTATTTTATTATTGCATGAAGAAAACAAACACATATATTCATTTTAAATATGGTTTTGGATTGATAGCTAATTTAAGTGGTTGTGATCGAATGAAGCCCAGCAGGCTGTGAGTCTCAGATGTTGGCACAATATCCAAGACTTGATATCGAGGGAAAAAAAAGGTTTAGTCAACTTGCTCGGGCAGCTTCAGGTTCTATCTTTTTCACAGATTCACATTACAGGTGTTTCAGTGGTGGAGCGTTTAGTGTTCATGCCTTAAAAGGCTTCAGGTCTTTTGTTTTTAAAATGTCTCCTCTGTCTGACTTCCTGCCCTCCGCATCTGCTCTGTGCATCCTGATATATGTGTATGTGTAAATAATCATTTTGTACATACGATAATTTTTAATCCTACAACTGTTTATAACCTGCATAGCTCACATTTCTGTATAACTGTATATCTCAGATTTCTGTATAGTTTTATATTTCATATTTATATCCTGTTCATAGCCTGTACATAGCTTGTACTCACTACAGCCTGTACATACTTATAGTTATAGAATATTCATAACATACTTCATACCGTGTACATATAACATACCATAATAGACCCATTTCTGTAATATACTTACATATCTATATTATTGCTAATATATATTGTAATATATCTATATCATGGCTAAAGCACTTCTGGGTGGATGCAAACTACATTTCGTTGCCCTGTACCTGTGCATGTGCAATGACAATAAAGTTGAATTCTATTCTATTCTATTCTATTCTATTCTATTCTATTCTATTCTATTCTATATGTTAACCAGGAATGAGTCCAAGATGGGCCAATGTTTTCCCAGAGTTCTGTTCTTCAATGTACTTGATCTTATATTGGTTTGTTGAAGGACGACCTGTCATTAATCTAATATTTCTATGTTTTTTGTTTAAAAACTGTACCCTCTGAGCTCTTCTAACTACCAAAGCAAGTCAGCTAAGAGAGAGTGACAAAACTGTGCAAATGTTAAGTTGCATGATGCTTTTAGGTGTCATGTTTGACTCAGGGCAGTTTGGATGCCCACTGGATTTTTTGGGGTGGTTTGATGTGGTACTCTGTGAGATGACAGCTCAGCCCTAAAAATTTCAGTATCAGACATGACAGGAAAAGTCAT